TCCCTGCGCTCTAATGACTTAATCCTCCTGTCAGTTCCTCTGGTCAGAACTGAACTAGGAAAAAGAGCATTCAGCTTCGCCGTCCCCTCAGCCTGGAACAACTTACAGACAGATTTGAAACTATCAACACTCATCTCGCCTAGATCATTCATGTCAACCGTATCAGATAATGTTATCAAAAATCGGGACCATTGCAAATGTTTCTAAAACACTACTTATCAAATATACATGTCTTTGTTGACTTTTAACTCTATCTACTTAAACTGATGTCTGTTCTACATTTAATGTCTACAGAAGTCTGTCTTATCCTGATGGTTTCAAACTGTTAACATTTATTTATCGTGATAGTAGTTTCTTTTTTCTTTTGATAAATGTAAATGCTTATTGTCAATAACCCTGTGAGGTGTGCTGATGACCACTTGACCAGGTCACCCTTGTGACCGGGCTCTACCTGGTAAAATAAAGGTGATTGATTGATTGATTGATATTGATATATATATATATATATATATATATATATATATATATATAGATATGGTAGTGGTCATCATAAATGTTGTGGTAACCAAATCTTCTAAATTAACTTTTCTTATGCCTAGATGCAACCACACACCAAAAAGGAAGTTAGTCCATTGCTTATGTTTTCAAGTAACCCAGCTCACAAGGTTTACATATGTGGCACAGTGGCAGCCATCTTGAATTTTGACCTGCAGACTCAATTTTTGAAAGGAACATTTCTTACTCATAGATGTAGCCACACATTACACTTATTTTTCAAATTATCATGCTCATAACATTCATGGGCAGATAAATAGAGGGTATTTCCAATCCTGCTTTCTCTCCGCGATGGGGAACAACAATTGAGCGTATCAAGAAGATATCACACGTCTCACATTTTCTCCTTCCAGCTCATCTTTGGCCATGTTGCTCCTCAGCAGTTCCTGCTTCAGCTGTAGAACAGCCTCCTCCTGCACTGCCAGGCGCTGCTGCAGAGCATCCTAATGAGACAGACGAGAAGATCAAAGAGGTTAAGACGGGAACACGGATCGAGTGCATCCACCTGCCTCATTTAATGCATCCACTCACTTTTCCTTTTTGTCTACCTTTTTCAAAAAAATCTAAACGGCTTTTCTTTGTTTGAAAAACTGCTGTATCCTGAGTTTTTGAGTGTGCAAAACTGATTACGATGAATTATAGTACGTGATCCAATTTTTAGTCACAACATAAGAAGAAAATTAGAGGTTTACCTTGATGGCCTGAATGTGCCGTGTCTCTTGTTTGTGCCTCAGGAGTTCCCTCTGAGTCACAAACACAAACAGACTTGTTCAAAGAAGAAAAAAATGAAGCTCATCTGTATTAATTCTAATTATATTTACTTACTGTACCTTGAGATCAAGGGCTTCCTCCATGCTTTGGTCCAGACGACTGCGGATTACAACCTTCAAAGGGAGAGCACATGAGCAGGATAATTAGAGAACGGAAAAATGTCAGAGCGTATGAAGAGGCAGTGGAAGTGCATGACAGTGGGCTAGCAGATCAGAGAGAATTAATCTGAGCTCTCCAGAAGAGTGACAGCTGCAAACATCATCACAAGCGAAGGCCTGGCAATCACAGAGCAGTGAGTTCTTGAGTTAGAAGAGAGAGGGCACTGTAATGTACCAGCTGCTGCTCAGTGGTCGCCCGGTTCTCCCCAAAGTTCACCGACCCATCCTGGTCTTCTTCAGGGAGGGAGCCATGCAGCAGCAAACCCTGATGACAAAAACAAATGTGATTAGAAATGAAAAAAAAATGTGGCATGTATGTAATAAAACATATATGCCACAAAAACTGAATGTATTCTTGTGTTGAACTTTTTAAATGGCTTAATGGAATAATTGGGTTCAAGTCTATTAGAAAAAATTGTTTACAACAGCAGTCAAGACAAATAGGTTATTGATTAAATACAACTTAAAATAGTTAATAAAGGCATGAAGAGCCTTTTACTCTGCTGCTCCTTGTTTGTTGAAGTCACTTCCAAACCACCTCCTTAATGAACCACAGACTGCAGAATTATTCAAAATAAGGATTACAAACATTTTTCTTTTGTCACTTTTATGGCCCTAATTGATTTTAGTGATTTTATTGTTATTTTTTATTTTTTTATTCCTGAAATGTAGCACTTTGATATTTACAAATGTAAAGTGCTCAGTAAGTTGAATGTATTAATATTATTATTATGAAGACAAATGCCAAATATAAAGCACAACATGGGCTCACAACCACCATGTGCTCCCTAAACAGGTCTCTCTTGAAAATGAGTTCTCGTGGCTCAATGAGACTAACCTGGATAAATAAAGGCTAAATGGAAAAATAAATAAAATAAAGCACAACATACCTTCAGTAAATCGCACTATAATATGTATTCACCACAGGTCAAGTCTAACAACCATTAACATATTATGAAGTGATGCAAACAGTGAGATGAACAGTAAAAAAGTAATATTTCTGTTCAAGTTATCAAGTACTTTTATTTTTTTGTCTGCTTACCATTATTTTTGCAGCTCTAGCACTATCCTCAAAAGCCAACAAACATATTTTTTAATCATTTTTATTACTCCAAACATTCCTAACCTATTTAAGAAACTACAAACATCACATTAAGTGAATTGTTTGAAGTTAATCCTGCCTGTTTGTACGCATGAATTTAAACATGGCATGGGAAAACTCCCTTCTTCCTTCTTGTGTTCTTCTAAATTACATTGCATAATGAGCGCTCCACATTGTTATTATTTTTGTCCTACTGTTTGGATATAATTTACTGCTAAAACATTCTGCATAGAAAGACAGCTTGAAATATTAAATTCTTTAGACGTTTTAGAGATTATATTTGAAAAGTATATTAGAAAAGTTTTACAACAACTAACAACTTTTTCAGGGAAAGATTCTAAAAAAATAAACAGAAAAAATACAGATAATGCGTGTTTATACAGAGAAAGCATCTGCACTTATGTAGCAGAGTGATTTAACTACCTTATAATTAGATACCTGGAAAAAGTCAGGTATCAATATATATTTATTTAAACCTGATACAACGAGGCCCTGTTTCAAAATGTCATTTTGTTCATTTATTAATATCTACCTCTTGTGATTTAAATCAGTAAAAATACTGAAGATTCTGGCAAAGAACTGGCCCTGTTGTAGCTAAAATTAGCTCTGATTTACCCGCTGTGTTTGGACTTTTATCAACAGCTGTACTGTTTGTTTTTTAGGAGCTTATCACCCAGTTACCTGTAGGCGGAAAACCATCCTTCTGGCTTCCTGCATCTCCTTCTCCAGCTGCTCCTGGTGGGCATCCAGCTGCTCCTCCCAGGTCTTTTCTTCCTCCTGCCCATCATGACCGAGGGTGGGACACAACCCACAGAGCAACACCTCATCTGAAAGCAACACATCAACACTGAAAATGAGCCTGCTGCTTTAAAGACTGTTTTTTTTTTCTCTCCATTGCATCATTTTTGGCTTTGCAAGCCTTCGTGTGCAGCCAACTAACCTGTGACAGGTTTCCTCTCTGTCAGGTCAGAGCTGCCTTCCTGAGGTTCCCCCTGGTCCTCAGACTGATCATGGACTGGTTCTTCTTTGGTGGTGTCCGTGGACTGGGTGATAACATACTCCTCTTTGGGGGAGTGTGCAGGGCTGGCTGAGCTGAGACTGAAACAGATGGTGACAACAGACAGGGATGAATGTTTATATCCTGCCAAATGAACTGCAGTAAATAAAACATAGTGACATAAAATGAAGATTTACACTTTAGTACCTCCTAAAGGAGCACCAAAATGAGACTTAGCTCCAACTTGGCAAAAATATTTTAAACTCCCTGTTTATAACAACAAAACAAAATCCCTCAAGATAACAGTGTCACAAACAAATACATACAAATAATAAAATGATTAAAAACAGTTTAACAGCTTTGAAACCTGTCGAGGAAGCATTTTTTTCCCTCAACAGGAAATTCTTTACATATTTTGCTCCCCCTTTGGCCATAATTTCCAAACATTATGCTTGCACGGGCACTGAAGAGCTGATTTTGATGAACACTTGTCTGTTTTCTTTGTACTTTTGTGTCCTGCAGCTCAAGCCGACTGTCATTATTCCTCTGCTGTTTGTAGAAACAGGAGTCAGGACACATACACCGTGACCTGCAGTTTTACGTACTCCAGGAATAGCAGAGTCATACAAGTCTGCATGTGAAAACACACCAGTAACTAATGAAACAGGCCTCAAGTCTGCACTAGCATGGCCATTTATAACAATAAAGCATCAGAATGAATCACCCTGCTCTTGGGGAGAAAAGAAAACCTTGCAAAAAGAGAAAGCTGTGCTTAGACACCAGACTGTTCTGAGGGATTCATTTTGCACGTGATGCAAGATTTAGATCGTAGCCAACGAGGTTTTATGCTTATCTACTTGCATTATTCAACACAAGACAACATCACAACTGACAGTAAACACTTGTATCATTTGTCACTGTGGAGTTTGCACCATGACTGTGAGGACTACTGTGGACACATTTTCTTGTAAAAACTTAAACTGGAAAAAGGCCTGAAGGAATAGCAGCATGTGAAGCTGTACTGATGAGCAGCTGAGAGATAAATGCTAATGCATTTAGGATTTTTGGTGACTTTGTTTGCTGGTTTCTTGTGATATGGAAATGTATTTTTGTAATGTATATGAGTGTGATGTAACTATTGCTGCCTTGAGCCTGTCTTGGCTGAGACACTCATAAAATAGACTATAAACCTCAAGAGTCTTAGCTCCTGGTTGCAAAGGTTTATTAAAAACATTAAATAAATACTAGGTGCTAAAGAAGACAATGTCTCAGCATACTGAATTTTAACAAGTCTGGGGTTAAATGTTGTTAACGGTGTAGTTTTATAATGTGATAATGTTGAAAAATGAAAAAAAAAAGCACAAAATAAATTAAAGTTCTGAAAATGTTAAGGTGTTGAAGACATAATCACATATTAAAATTATTATCTGATTGTTCTTGAAATAGTTGTAAAATAAATAAACCTCATAATGTCTTTATGACAGAACAGAAAAAGCCAGGTATTAAGTTTCTTAGTCCAGACATTTGTTCAGATTTGTTGCACATTTTATTGTACTTTATTAAGTAAATTTATTAAGAGTTATTAAATAAATTCAACGAGGAAATTTCAAAATATCATATATGCTCATTTGCAGCTTTATTTGAGTCAAACAGAAATTTTTTTTCTACACCAGACTTTACTCTCTTATATGTTAAACTATAACATAATTGTTTGCAAAACCTTTAATTTGAAATACTCCTTTTGAACTGTACTTTACTTTATGATCCTTATCCTAATCGCTTCAGATTAATCAAAAGTAATGTCCATACTGCCAGACTCCCTATTGGACAATATATGACTTGAGCATGGTAGAACAAGAAAAAAATATTTAAGGATAAACAACTTAATTTTTGTTTTGCAGGGTTTTCTGTAGGAATTAAGCCTTTCAACTTTACATCTTTACATGTTCAAGTTCAAGTAAACTTTACTGTCAATACCATCTCATGTGGTACATGAGATGGAACGAAATTATCCACACAGGGTCCCAGTTACACCCAAAATTAGCAAAATATAAAGTATAAAAAGAAACAGTAAATAAGGATCTAAGATATACACTAAGATAAACGCTAAAACAAATGCCACACAATACGCTAAAAGACCTAAGAATGCAAACATAAGATTGTAAAGTAATGCACTGTATGCACATAAAAAACTTAGAGGTTGGTACCTTAAAAACTGTCCAGTTTCATTCAGCATGCTGTATAATGTCACTTCTTCCTGCTCTTCTAAAACGTCATTGCACAGGTCCCATAAAAACATTAACTGTCCATCCATTATCTTAAATTAAACAGGTCAAAAAGGGGCCTTCTACTAATTTTGTGTTGACATTAATGCTTTTATCACTATCTCAATGAGCAGATATATTTAGCATGCTTGGTGCTGATAGGAACAAATGCAAACAAATTTGGAACATATGGGATAAGCTGAAGATTAAGCGTGCACGGGATTAGCAAAAGATAAGCCTCGATGCATCAGATTAGACATGATTAATCTGTTCAGTTCAAATGTTATAATATTCTATCACTTTAAAATTGTGCCATGTTGAAGTACAGTACTTTATTTATATTGAAATATGTACATGTGTGATATTTTAGTTGTTCACAAAATAATTTGTTTGTGGTTCAACTAAACAATGTTTTCACCTCAGCTTTATTCGTTTTGTGTCTGCAAACTTTTAGTCACCTGGATTGTCTAACAGTTTATTACTGAGTGGCACAATCGTTTTTCTTCTGTTTTCACCACATCTCATGATATTTTTGTCCATGGTAATCACTAAAGTATAATAACCCATCAATAGCAGGGGGATTTGTGAATTAGCCTTGTTTTTAGCAAAGGTTAATTTAGCTAAAAACACCTGATAGTATGAAAACATTTACTTAAAGTGGATAAAGTACTGTTTATAACCATAAAAATACAGTAGTACTGTAGTAGTACTGCACATAACTGTAGTACTTTTCAGGTCTCTCTTGTAAATGAGTCCTCGAGGCTCATTGAGATTAACCTGTATAAATAAAGGTTGAATGAAAAAAGTAGTACTATAATAGTAGCATGACAATAGAAATAACGTAGAGCAATGCTATGTTACTGTGCTAATAATTAGCTTTGTATTTTTAGCATAGCTAGCTAGCTTGAACGAGTCAATTGTTTATTGTACAAAATTTAAGATTATAGTATGGCTTTCAAAAATGCACTCACTGCGTAAATGTCGACTTGCATTATATCTACCTGAAAAGTATATATCTATTTTTCTAACATGGCTTTAAATGTGATATTTTGTGTAAAAATGTAGCACATAAGTACCGGTAGCTAATGATAGTTAGGCAGACGTTGCTAGGCAACAGCAGCTCCGCTCGTTCGGAGACCTCACGGGACACACCCTCAGCCGAACAACGACACCGGCTGTTTGCTGGTTTCACTCTTCATGTTCAGAAAAAAAAAAAAAAAAGAACTTGTAGGACTAAAATTAAAATCATCATGCAAAACCAGCTCTCATACAGGGCCTGGCATGGCTTCTGCGCTCAATTACTTCCGCTAAAAATAGCAGTCTGCACGAATATAAGGTAAACAACAATTGATTTTTTTTTTTTTTACCATTTCATCTGTTTGGCTCCCATGCTGGTGTCTGCAGAATTACCCTCCCATGCAGTCGGAGCTGTGCATCTGTGTGATGGGCTGTTCTCCAGTCAGGACCATAGCCTCGAACAGAGATGGAGGCTGCAGATCTGAGCGCAGCAGCGAACACAGGAGCCTCCACGTCGCACGCTGCGTTCAATCAGCAACAGCACGCGCAAATCCACTCCAGCAGCATATTCCTAAAACACAGAGCTCTAAATCCGAAGCAACTCCCCCTAAACCCTGCCCATAAATCATACCAAGCTCTGTCCGAGCTGGCAGAGGGAGGGAGGGAGACAGGAGGGGGGACAGAGGAAAAGAGGATTGCTGTTTCTGCTGGCTGAGCTCACCAGCTCCCATTCACGGACACAATTGTTTTTGTTCTGACAAGAACTGCTGCAGCTCTTGTGCATCTCTTTCAGGCCGGCTGTTTTGCATTTATTCCCTCACTCCCTCCTTCGTTTTTAATCGTCCTTTCGTCTGCACAGGCATGGTATGACTTCCTCCTTTCAGAAAGCAGAAATGTCTGACATGGCTCTGTCTGGGTGTGTTTACCCTCCCCCCCTCTTTCCCTCCAATGCCTCCTCCCTCCTTCCTCATCTGCTCCCTTCCTTCATAAAAAGGAGGGGGATTTTTTTTTACGCCCCATTTGAATCTCATTTTTCAATGCTTTTTGTGTCCTGCATGCCACTGCAGCTATGAAAACTCAAACACATGGATGCAAAAAGAGACGCTCAGAAACGCTGAAATCTTCCAGGCAAATGATAGGATGGGGATAATCACATATTTATACTGCAAGCAGGAAAAGTTGGGAGTTGCTCGAAGAGGAAATGGTATTTATAAAGTGGAAACACCAACCTACAATTACAGTCCTCCTCACTCACATTCATTATGAGTCCTTGTCCAGAAAGAATGTCTCCCTGTAAACTAAAACTAAAAGTAAAGCCTGGGAAAAAAATTATATATTAAAGTGTCAGATTCACATTTTTAGTAAGAGCCAACAGAAACAAAAGATTTCCTCAATGGCATGCACTTCTCATGTTAAGTGCCCCTCTGAGAGGCATTGGGGCCGTGCACGCTGTCATTAAGTTGTTACCAATGTTGCTGGTGTCATCAGCAAAACTGTGAAGGAGCTCTTTATGTGTCAGCTTGCAGTTCTGTCCGGAACCAAATGACAGTCTTAAATTCTGTATGAGCACCCTCAACGCATGCTTCAAGGGGCTACTTTGCTGCAGAGCTATGAATATGTATGGGGAGGCGCATGAATAAGGAGGAAAACAGCAGAGCAAAGGTTGACACACAGAGCTAACGTTGCTTTAAGGATATGTTTTTGGTTCTGCTTTACGTTGATTTCACGGTAAAGCATTGGCCTTTTGCGTTACACGTCTTTCACTTTTTAATCCGCGACTTTCTTATCCAAATTTAAAAGCACAGTTATTAATTGCTTTCTGTGTCTTTAAACAATATTTAGAAGAACATTGTTCACACTGTTACAATAATTGCCTTATAGCAGTTGGAGATCTTTTTGCCGAAATATTTGAACACGTTGAAGGCAGAAGGTGATCATGTTTTTGCTCCTGTGGGTGTTTGTCTGTTAGCAAAATATCTCATGGCCCTGTGGATGAATTTAGTAACATTGTTAGATCTGCATTACAGCTGCAACTGTACTGACTTTTAAAAACTGGATTTAGCTCAGACAATTTTATAGATATCAGAGTCAGAGTTTCTTTAATGTCATTCGCACCTCATGTGGTACATGTGGTGGAGCGAAATTATGTACACGGGGTCCCAGTTACATCCAACAATAAAATGTATAAGAAAAACAGTAATAACATCTAAGATATGAACTAAGAAACACATCAACTAAATATACACTAAGCACTCATAACATAAAACATTGAATATCAGCACAAACATGAACATGAGTCTGTGTGAGCAGATGTGCACGCATGAACACATCAACATTGAAACAGATCAGCAGCAACATGAAACAGATCAGCAGCAACATGAAACAAATCAGCAGCAACATGATATGGTTTTTCACAGTGATTATTCTAGTTAG